GCAGCTGCAGCAGCAGCTGCTCCTGCTGCAGCAGCAGTAGCTGCTGCTCCTGCTGCAGCAGCAGCAGCAGAATTGCTTCGAATTTTTAAATGCGGGGTCTGTTGGGGTGTCTCCACAGCAGACATTTATTTGCTGCTGCTGCTGCTGTTCTTGCTGCAGCAGCTTTTGCTGCTGCTGCTGCTGCTGCTGCTGCAGCAGCAGCAGCAGCAACTCGTTGAAATGTTTTAGTGTTTTATTTGGGTTTAGAGACAAATGAATAAATGCAAGCAGCAGCAGCAGCAGCAGCAGCAGCAGCAGCAGCAGCAGCAAAGATAAAGAACAAAACAGAGAGAAGAGAGACACACAGCACATAGAGGAGACAGATAGAGATAGAAGGAGACAGATAGAGACAAAAGGAGACAGATAGAGGTAAAAGGAGACAGATAGAGATATAAAAGGAGACAGATAGGGGTAGATGGAGACACATAGAAAAAGGAGACAGAAGAAGAAAAAGGAGACAGAAAAAGAAGAATGGAGACAGAACAAAAGGAAAAAGGAGACAGAAGAAAAGGAAAAAGGAGACAGAAGAAAAGGAGACAAAAGAAAAAGAAAAGGAGACAGAAAAAGAAAAAAAGGAGACAGAAAAAGAAAAAAAGGAGACAGATGAAAAGGAGACAGAAGAGAAGGTGATTTAACCAAGACGCATAACTTCTGGTGTCTCCGTGTCGTTCCTTCTCCTTCTCTCTGCTGCTTCTCCTCCTGCCCGGCTGTATCTGCAGCAGCAGCAGCAGCAGCAGCAGCAGCAGCAGCAGCAGCAGCAGCAACAGCACAATGTGGAAGAAAGAGAGAGATTTCTGCTGTAAAAGAAAAAATATATAAACGTAAATTTAAGTGTCTCCTTTCTGTCTCCTTTCTGTCTCCTTTCTGTCTCCCTTTGTCTCATTTCTGTCTCCTTTCTGTCTCCTTTCTGTATCCTTTTGTCTCTGTTTTGTCTCCTTTTGTTTTCTTTATTATTTCTATGGTTTGTTACATACTAGGAGAGGACAATAAATAGACACAAAAGGAAGAAAGGAGACAAAAAAAAAAAAAAAAAAAAAAAAAAAAAAAAAAAAAAAAAAAAAAAAAAAAAAAAAAA